TACTGAATGTGCCTGTCTCCTTGAGGTATGTGTATACAGAGAGAGACCTTTTGATGGAAAAGGTGTATCCTGGTATATGGGCTTTCTAAGCCACAAAGTTGACACTGGGTGGTGGCATCTCTCACCAAGCAAGTAATGCTTTCTATTGGCATATGAAGATTCTAAGCTTTTCTGTATTTTTAGAACAATACTCATGAATTCTGCAACCTTATTCATCATTTGTAGTTATAAAGTTGGGTAGATTTTTATCACTAAACAAATACCAATGTCACATCAAAAAGGAATGTTTCAAGCAGACATAACAATACCAAAAAAAATCAACATATAAATACTCAAAGCAAAACATATCATAATAAGAAGGAATGTAAAAACAAAGCTACAACGCTTTGTATACTTATCAACTTAATTTCAGTGAATAATTTATTTAAGGGTTAATAGGAAAAGTCCAGGGAAAGGCAAAATATGGAAACATATTGAAAGCAACAGACTTAAATGTTATGCAATGAAAACACATTGTAGAGAAGTTTCAACATCCTGGTAAAAACAAATATTTAAAATATCAATAACTTTTCATATGAAATGCTTATTATGAAATAAATTATTGCTCCATTGGCTGGAAACTTGACAACAAATAGGCAAAACAAGCTCAGAAATAGCTGGAGAAAAAGATCAATAGAATTTGGACTATGGCATGAAGCAAAGCATTAAATTAGGTTCCCACCCATGATCCCAGTCCAAATCCTGGGGCAATACTGTTAATCAGAATAGCAGCCTAATCTTGACACCAGATTTTCTCACATTCAAAATCTGACTACCAAAAAGGAATTGAAAACTTCAGATGACTCTGAAAAAATGCTGACATGCCTTTATCTCAACTTTATTGCTTCTGAAAGACAATTAAATTCAGCAGAAACATTGATTCTTTGTAGCCAGCTTCTCCTCATAATACTCCACGTTCTTCACTAATGACCAGAGATACAGAAAATGCATTGAAAACATGGAGGGAGGTTGGCATTATGGAATTATTTTATTCCTTTTTTGTTCAGAAGATAAGAAAATGAGGGTGGGACTTTGATCTACTGCAGTTCAGGAGGCAGAATGCTGATTGATAACATTTTATGCACTCTTGTCTTGTATAGCTGAAAAGGGAGAATCCATTGGAATACTTTTAGCTTTTCCCTAGAGCTGTGGTTATAATGAGGAAAATGGAGGTTCTGTTTTAATCAATGTCTATAGACAAAACCCTGAATCTTGGTTGGAGGAAGTGTATAATGGTTGCTAGTGTCCAGGATAATGAAATAGTAAGACAAAAGAGTTTCAGGAAACAAGTGAACTGCTGGACTTCTGGGGAAAAAATGGTGGACTGGAAACGGTTCAGTGAAAAGTAGAATCAATGACCATGGTGAAGGGAAGAGCCAGTGAGTAGACCGGCTCTTCGTAATTCCTCTCCAGACAAGGAAAGGTCTTAATAGTAATTTTATTAAAAATTATAGTTACAAAGATAAAAACTAATACAAGCAAGATGATGATGATGATGATGATGATGATGATGATGATGATGAGAAGAAGAAGAAGAAGAAGAAGAAGAAGAA